CGATGTCTACTAGCGACCATCACTTGTTTGCGAGTTCAGATGGATCACTTCTCTTTTCGCTCAATCTCAGACGTCGCCGCTTCTTCCAGCGCTCATGGGATGAGGAGTGTGCGGAATTGCGAGTAGATATATACCTATCACGGACTTTCCCCATTCCCCAGGGACTAATTCATTTAATTTGCAATCAATTCTGGTCCTTTATACAGCAAATACGGACTTCCCATAATGCCGTCTGATTACCGCTGCCTGAGCTGCCCTGTCGAACAGATCCGAAGCAGAAATGTAATAGAAGCTGCTACAATGCACCAGAAAAGGAAACTATAGTGAATTTGTTGTATCTCCTTCGAAAGTTGCCAGGAAAATCCGACCATGGGCGCTGATTAAAAGCGCCGCTTATATAAAACATCATTTTAAAGGCAGATGGTACGATAAATTGCTCACCGGCTGGAAATGAAAGTAGAGGTGGCAAGCGGTGCACAGTGAAGGAAAACCCAAAGGAAACGGAATAAACCAGCGAATTGAGACTCCTCCTCTGCTGTTGCCCTCCTGGAGAGATTCCCACTATAGCTCCCTCACCAACGCATGCATTGCTCTGTCGCCTTGCTAGAAAAAAAAATAAGGCAAGGGACAGCTCCTGGTGTACTGATCGGAGGACAAGCAGAGGCGCGAAGGCGTTCAGACGGATGGACGACTACGCGCGCGCTTCATCACGGTGATATCACGTTCCGTTCCGCTGGAAGTTTTGCATCCCTTTTTACATTCGGCACGTATCCTCCTCTTTAACAAGCAATTTCTTGTACCACTTGCCTCCAATGTACGCCTCAGGATAGTTCACCGAGTAATACGTTCGGTAGGTAGGATGAAGCTGATTGGGAAGGTTACCGATGCGCTCCCTCGCGACTGGAACGTGGGCGCCAGGGGTTAGCCAATCCTCCCGATTAGTGGTCACGTGTGGTACTCCTATCCCCCGTTATACACTGGCCGTGTTTCTACGTCCTCAGTGTGGGTTGCTCTTTCGCGTATTCTTGCTTCTTTGCGCGCTGTGTCTCTAACTCGTACCACGACCGACACAGAAACTGAGCAGTGCGTGTTACTGTTTTCGATGACTTCTGGACCTTTCCTTTTTCACCTACTGTCCATTCAGCATGTCCACCTTCACTACTGAGTGCTCCTTCCACCAACTTTACCTGAGGACAGATTGGTGTGGTTCTTGCATACAAACATGAAAGTATCGGTGTGAAATGAGCTGTAAAGGAGAAAGGAAAAGAATCAGTCTACAACGTTTAGGCAAGGACTTGCTCACTTTCGTAATTCGTTCGTGCAAAGGCAATGAGGGGCTGAGCGCGGAGAGAGGAGTATGAGGAGAGAAAACACACAGGGGAGGGTGCAGGACAACAGCCTGCTGCAGAGGGGACACTGCAGCGCTGCAGCATACTTTGCAAGCCCTAGTGCCCTTTCACACGGCATGTCCCATGATGGATGACTACATTTGTCACTGTCCTCTACAGATCTCAATGCTACAGACAAAGGGAATCCTTCACTACGACTTCTAGGACCTTTAAGCGCATCGCGCCACCGTCGCTCCTTTCGCAATTTACCGTAATCATCTTCTGTTATTTGACTACCGGGAGTTTAAAGGGCACTCGGCAATGAAAATCAATTGCAAAAAATCAGAAAATCTGTAGACTGTTTTCCGATTTTTCAACTTTCATGGAACGACCAACGCTTTAGCTCACCTTCCACTCGCCTGCGGAGTTAAACCTCTTGATAACCTAAAATTAAAGGAATCTTGCGCGGAAAAATCATGATTCTATTTCAGCCATAAATCACTGGCTTGAGACTCATTATCCACGATAATAGTGAAAAGAACTGAAGTATTGCTTTCGTTTTGATTAGAAATTCGAAAAACTCGAAAAGGCTGCTACGCGTTCGAATTGCCCACGGACGTCTTTCACGAATGCTGGCGACGGGGATGCTCAAACTTGGTTCTTGGAGTGCATTCACTAGAAGCTCTTTCTGGCCTTCTGCTTCGTTGCATTCACATCTTACACTTCTACTCCATCCTATTCCATCGATCGATTTGTCTCCACTCTCCGAAATCGCGCGCTTTAACCCGATTCTCTCATTGCGTCGCCTGGTACGTAGCCGGCCAAACGCCGTCTTCTTTCCATGCCTCGCCTGGCTCTGCCTCCTGGTCCTTCGATGGTCCATAACGTGTAGTTTTTGTACGTTTGTTTCTCTTCAGAAACCGAATCTTCATGCGTGAAACTTTGTGTGCTATTTCCAGTGATCACAACTGACATATTCATGTTAGGAAAGAGTGCAAGAATTTTCCGCGCAAGATTCCTTTAAGCCTATGGAGAACCCAAAAATGACCAAAATAAAGCATTAAAGCTGTTTTCTTGTATCCTTGGGAAAAAGGCCTGAGCACCAACACCGAATGAAGAGATAGAACACAGATTGCCACCCGAATGAAGCTTGCATTATTGGAACGAACAGCTGGCCGATAGCACTTCCTGCAGATCCGGTCCCATCTAACAACCCGGACACGGTTGACCTAGCCTGAAAAGCATTTTCTCAGAAATGCCACACACGTCAATTCAATATTTAAATGTTTATAATTACTTAGCAGACTCAGTACCTGCGCATTCGATGCGAGTATCGGTTGTGACCCCAAATCTATAGATATCGTACCGACAATTAAATTGTACGGACCGGAAATCGTAACACCGACAACCGTCATGAAAAATGCGTTCCAGATCACATTTGCGCCTGTAATTTATAAAAAAAACATTATAGAATATCGATGCTCAGGCTCGTGGTACTTACCAATACGAGCATAAACAAATAGTGAGCCAATAGAGCAAATCAGCATGGCAACGATCAGCGGCGCTCGGCATCCCATCTTGTCCTTAATTGCAAATAGTTTCTATATAGCGATATACAAACGCGATTGAGCAAATAGTTCCTGTGCTACAGCCTCCCTCAACCCCTCCCTCCACCCTCCCCATTCTTTTCGTTTTCGCGTAAATGAAACACTCACTGAAATGTAACCTCCCAAGACGCTAACCAATAATTCCCGCGCTAAATATCGTACCGAAATACTCAACTGATTCGGCCTAAAAATCTCCAAGCTATTTACTCGAAGGCAATACCCTCGTTATGAAACGGTTTCGGAGATAATAAAGTAATAAGAAGTGGCTGAACATCTCTTATTCAATCAGAAAGAAGCAGCCAGCAGAAAATTCATGACATGTTGGAGTAAAAACTTTACCTTCGTTTCTTCCCAGTGATAAGCTTCCTGTCAGGTACAACGGTAACCAGAAGAAAAAGGCGTAGTTGACAAGCTTGAGGCATGCATTACACAAACAGTACTGCAAAAAAATCTCAATTAATGGTGGACCTTTTATGGGTGGTGTAACTCGTATTACTGCGATGTTCACATTGATGAACCTCTCTTTTCAGTATGACAAAGAGAAGGTGCACTACCCAATAGAATGGCGAGGCAAGGTCTCAATCAGTTGATGCTCCAAAAACAGTTTTTGGAGCATCAACTGATTGAGCATAAACCGATTTTGTAATATTGCGTGCTAACTCAAAGTAGACGCTCTGAAATAGTTCTCAAACAACGGAGAACTTGAAAGGGTCTGCTGAGAAAGTAGATTGGTCCAGGAACCCTATGTGAGTACTTTTTATTCGGAAATTCGAATGTATGTAAGAACAGATTTGTTTGCATAGAATCTAAGTCTTGACCAATTTCCACTCCTTATCACGTGATATTCCATAACGCGACCTCCTGCTTCCGAGACTTCACTTGAAAGGGAGCTCAGTGTGCGATACCTGGGTCTCATTTCTTTCATATCGAATGCGTCACACTTGAGCCTTACTGTACTTTCTTCAGAAACGCGGTGGCATCATGGGAATGTGATTTGGCCTATGCAATGACTTGTGGAAGCGGTCTGTACGCAAGACAGCGCTTCTAACTTCCACTCGAGTCCAGCACCCTCGCTAACTGACTCCGTAGGAATGGAAGGTTTGATTGGTGTAGGCGAGTTCTCACAGGGCTTTGATCCTTAGACGGCATCCGCAGTGATTAGCGTCACTTGCCATTGCACCACGCTGGCCTTAGAAAAATTAATATAATATTTCCAAATTATATAGATCATATTTTTCCATACTGACTGTTCCCATCATGCAATTTACGACATTTTGCCACATGAGTTTCGTTTACAAAAAGAGAACTAATCAAAGCTCGGCTCAAAAACCATACATTCAGCCACGACTAAGTCTTCAAAAGATCGCAATCAACAAGGACATATTTGAGATACTAACCGCTAGCACTCCAGGCAGAAGAATAGCATTGATAATGCTGATTGGTTCCCCTTCCGCTGCATGGGACCTGAAAAGATTTTCCGGCTTAATCTTTGATAGGCAATAACATCACTCAAATACTGCAGCGTTCCGGTAGCACTGAAATCGAAAGGAACGGTCTTTCCTTATGCTGGCTTTTCATGAAAATAATCAAAAATAATAGTACAAAAACCCACGAGCCAATTGAAACATTACCTCAAACTTTAATAATTTTTTTCTTGCTTCCCAGCATCTTGTGTTTTTTATTCACTATAAGTTTACTTACTTCGAAAGCAAGGATATGAACTCGGTGCTGATCAACCCATTTCGAGATGCGCCATGCATTCCACTTTTACTCAGAATCGTAGTGGCTCTTGAATGCGTATTTTGCAAGTCAATAACTTTTTACTCGCGCCACCCAACAAACAAATCACTCAAATCGACTTACTCCTAGAGGAATGCTTGGTTGGTCTTCGGGGGATCTCATCTGAAATTCAAATTCCCGAACGAGTTGTTCAATAGCACAGCCACTGTATAGTTACGCACTACTGAAGACATCTCGTCATTTCCCGCAATTCTGAAGGAAGAGCACTGACAAGAGGCGGCGTAACCACAGGCCACGGTTCGTTCCAATTCTGCTCAAGGGTCATATGCTATCCTTCCCCAGTGAGAGGGAGACGGAGTTTCCATGAATTTTCTTTATCTTCGCCAGAATCACCTAAGGGAGTGTTCAAAATACTTGTGTATAAATCCAAAAAGAGCTGAAGGTAACGGAACTAATTCAGAAAAACAAAGAAAATTCGAAAGGATACCTGATTCCTTCCAGCCGGGGAAGATAGCTTACGGTTTGCGGGAACCCGAACCGTCAAAACCACAGAGTAAACGATTCTAGGTTTCGTGGACAATAAAATACTGACATCACATAAGTTGGTCGCCACGATGCATATGTAGGATCAAGAATTCATCCACAAGCAGCAAAGAGGTTAATGGGTGCCAAAATTCCATCGGTCAATCTTTCTAGAACCTGACCACGGACGTCAGTTGGTTGAAAGGGTGTTTACCATAAGGGAGGGCCCTCTTTTTGGTGGCGTGGGACGACGCGATTTCGAAAGCTCCGTCCCTTTCCTGACATCCGTGGATTTAGTGTAGTTATGGACAAAACCATGAACATCACAGGGGAATTTTAGTAGAATTTCGGCACGAAGGAATGGCAATGAAAAGGCGAAATTTAATAGCTTTCGCTGCAATAGACTTGCGAAGCATTTTTCCTCGATTGTTACAATAAAGAATACATGCGTAGATATTCATAAAATTTTATATCTACCTTAGAGGAGGAGTTTACGATCAGGCCTTACGATTAGACGGCAGCTCACTAGAGCTACGGTAGAGGTGTTCAGTGGTGTTCGGATAAAAAAACATGAGAAACGGCCCAGAACCAGAGAAATGGGACCCCTTCCTTGCCCGTTGATTTCCGCATTGATGCGACTCTCATCGGTGCTGCCCTCTTCAACGCTAACGCTCTCTCTGCTAAACGGCTAGAGACCTGCGGCGAGTGGTTAGCCAGTCGGTGGGCGTACGCGCCGATAGCGCCGCGAGGACCATGTTAGATCAGAAGGGATATTTCCTTTGCCATGAACTGCGGGTCGGTCTGCATCCTTAGGGGGTCCGCTGGTCTTTCCATGAGGTAAGCTTTCCCTTCTTCCACCTTCGAGCTTATCGTGGAATTTTCCTTCAAAGAAGGATCAAAGGAATTGAAAGACCCTCCACCACCTATGTCCATCACTACCGTGTTTTCAGCCCAAACCAGTCTAACCACTCAATCATTTTATGACAAAAGAGAATAAAAAAATGATCCAAGCCGAAAACTTTATACTGCCCAGAAACCTATTCTAATGTGAAGCATGTAAATCCTTTCAGTGAGCCATGTCATTTCTAGTTGTATAGTAGCCTTAGTTAGTTTGTCAAAATCGGAAATAGCCGATAAAGCTACGACATAAACGATGAACCCCTATAGGCTGGCACCGTTCTACGAACACATGTCTCCAGCCAATACGAGCTGCCACCTGTGTGAATGCGTTAAAAGGTACATTGACTTATTCGCGTTGTTTAGGGCTACGTACTTTATCCTCGTCTATCCCCCACATGTCTAGAGACGATTTCAAGCTGCACCTCTAACAACCAGTCCGAGGGAATTCAGACCTTCTAGACATAATAGGGCTCCTTAGAGGGTACCGATGAATTACTTGAACTACTTTATCTTACTGGAAAAAGGTGCTACCAATATCCTTGCCCAATTCTGCCTTCCCTGCTGGTACTCGTCTAATCCACAAGCTGACTGATCAGCGGTATGGCCAGTCATCAAATATGACTGGCCATACTGCTGACTTTATATGGTTATGGAGCCTAATATACTGGAATCCAAGAAGGCCGTGAAAGAAAAACGTCGCAGATTCTAGAACGCCCACGGAAATCCCACAAAACCATTAAAAAGGCTCAAATCTCAACAAAGGTCAACCAAGATTTCAACTCCGGGGTCGCTTAACTGATGAGCTATTAACTAAACTCAAATGCCTAAATAAAAATGAATAAAATGATCTCGCACAACGGCTACACCGCAAGTCACTTGACATTTCAAGACGCATTCAAATGCCTTAACTACAACTCCGGATTTGAAGTAAAAAGTGCGTGCACATCCGAGAGAGAAAGAGAAGCAAAGCACGCTTTTGATGGCATGTTATGGAACGTAACAAAATTGTGAGAAACTTGACTCTTTCACGAGCCCATGAATCGCCTTTCTTCAATAATGCTGCAAGAATGATCCATTTAAAAAAAAAAGGCTGTCAGCTCACAAGTTGTGAATTAAACCTGACAAACCAGAACTCTTCTCACTTTCATAATGTCAGAGGGGGTGCAGAGGGAGGAGGAATAAAGAAATCAAAAAAAACTCGGTTATTACGATCCACACTACGGAAATCACCTCACTGTTCCTCATGGAAACACGAAGGAGTGGTAGAACAATGATAAAAGATCGCAATACCTCTCCGCGTGCTCGACATCGTTCAGGTGGGTATACTGCGTTTCCTTCGGCTTTGAATCTATCGATATCATCACAATGAAGGCTCCAATCATCAACAGAAGGCCATTCATGTAGAAAGTGCTCTGAAAATTCTCTGCCCTTCACTCGCCGTTACACTTCAATTCACTATTGAAAGAAAATGGAAGCACTGTGCAAAAATCTCCTATCGTTCCATTGTTTTCCTACGTGTTGCTCCTCTTTTGACTGTGCATACCATCGAGTGCATTCGAAATAATAAAAATAGAATCATAATAAATAAATAAAATCTTAACCACAAAACCCAGTGTAGAAGTTCGACGTTGTAAGAGCGCCAAGTTTAGGCCGATGTCAGACTTTGCGAATCGCGCGATTCGCTAGCGTCTGCGGTCGCGTCGCGGCCAGTGAATCACTCAATTGGCTGGTACCGCAACGCGACCGCGGACGCTAGCGAATCGCGCGATTCGCAAAGTCTGACATCGGCCTTAGGTTCTGTGATGACCGCTTTTACGCTCTGGGCGTGTGGATTATATCTTAGGAAGCAGGAAAGGTGAAACTCCAGTTCGGGGGGGGGGGCACTCCATTTTTTCTCCAATACTCAAGATAAGGATTAGAGGGCTCACGACACGTAATCGACTCATTTAAAGTAGACTTGTGATCCACATTAAACCGATACTTCTGATAAGTATCGGTGTAATGTGGAAGAAACCCTGAGATGATTTCACATTTCCGCCTGCCATGACCCAAGGGAACGGTCCTGGACCAGGAGAAAGGACACCTCCGCAAAGGGCTAAGGGTGCAGGAGCTCCAGGGTGGATCACCTGTGCAGAAAAGTGGATGGGATGTGGGCAGGTAGTGTGGAATGTAGGACATCCACCGGTCCTTATCAAAAGTACGCTCGAAATGAGTCGTTCACTTATTATCTTATCCGTAGTGTTCGATAGCCCAAAGAACTGCTCTCTAGTACTACGGATAAGATAGCAATGGAGTGCCCCCCCCCCCCGAACTGGAGTTTCACCGAACAGAATGTGGGAGCGTGTTTTTCTTTTATTTTTTCTTCCTGCACATTACCTATTTATAACTGTTCTGCATCCATTTTGTATGAAATCTGCGAACTATTAATTCTAAATTTAACATACTAACAAGCGAAAGAAACTACCTCGTATCCAAATGGTAAAACCCATGAAGTGAAGAACGATCCGAATACGTTACCAAGCGGCTGGCATGACGCCCATACGCCCATCACGAAACCTCGATTTGCCTTGCCAAACCAGTTTGCCTGCAAATATTGTAAGTCAAAATCGCGTGGTTGGAGAAAAGATACTGCTGTAACATGTAGAGATTGAATCTGAAGCATGCTAGAGTAATTGCGAGTGTTGGAGATTCCAGGAAGTCCGCGATCGGAACAAACAGATCGAATTTCCGAATTATAGGATTACAGTGTGTGCGAACAGTGAGATTGCCGTAGTGGAGGAAAAAAAGCAGAAAGGACCTTAAAAACCACAGAAATTGCTGGACTCCTTCTCCTTTGAGGTCGATCGCGATATAGGCGAGACTTAGTACGGGAGGAGAAGAAATATGCGAGGCAACACGTCGTATGAGATGGCCAGACACCGCCTATACGGCGGACGAGCAAAAACGGCCAGTCGCAGCGGCCAAGGTAATGCTTCAAGTTGATCCCTCTCCCATGTCCTCATAACTCGCATTCCGTCTTCTTGCCAAACTTGTGTGATTCACCTCAAAAACCAACAAAACCCGCTTCTAACCTCCCACCAGCGGTGTTTTTATGCGCCGTAAACTTGCCTTCTAGTTCAGTGTCCTTATTAACAACCAATTATTGAGCCTGCTTATAGTGGTCTCGTTGTCGTCTAAGTCTAATTTAAGTTTATCTTCTTGTAGACCTATTTCATTTTATTTTTGATTCGGAACTTACCATTATTGCGATTTCGCTTGGCCAACCACAGGCTTGCATTAAACCAAATAATATATACGTAAGCACGTAGTAAGCGGCGTTATAATATCCAAACCACTTGGGAACAGCACCAAATAGTGTCAGCTGAATAAAAAAAAAGTTTCTGCGACAGATTCTTGCATGAGGTAAGATAAAATCAAACCATGACAGCTGATCCGATCATTCCCGTTACAATGACATGCTTCGGGTTCAGACGATCTCCTAACCAACCCCAGAAAAATAGTCCCTGAACATGGGAAAAACACCTGTCATTGGCTAACAACACATGGTGAAAGTCTGTGACCAAGGTGAACATACGCTCGCATAGGCAATCATGAATACTGCATCGAGGGTCCCCAAGAATGTCTTCGCTTCGCCATCAGTGTTGAACAGCGGCTACAAATGAACACATTTCCAAGTGAGTAATGGTTGTTTTGTTAAAAAGGTGAATGAATAAAATCACAAGTCTACCATGTTTAGTCTCAGTCTTCATCCTTCACAATAAT